ATATATATATATATATATATATATATATATATATATATATATATATAAATATACATACACATACACACACATATATGTATATGTAATATAGACATTACAATGTAATATGTATACATAATGTGTATATATGTACCTATGTATATGTATACATATGTATAACTACTAATTAATACTAATGAATACTAACAATATACTGACATAGTACTTTAACATTTACGAAGCACATTCCATATATTATGACTTAAAACTCACAACAGCCCTGCAAAGTAGATACACTACAGGCATTATTATCCTCAATTTACACATAAAGAAATTGAAACTCAGATTTGACAAATGGAACTCAAATTGTGACTTGTTGGCAAGTGTCAGCAGTGAGAGGTGAAGCCAGGTCTTCCTGATTCCGGCATTCTTTTCTATAAGGTTATGCTGTGTCTCCTATACTAAGAACTCAAAAAATTTGCAAGTAAACTCTTGATATTCAAAGTCTTGTGGGAAGACGGGGTGAGAAGGCTGACAAAGCTCAGACACCGTAATGGCAGAATGAACAAGCATCAGATGCATTTCTTTCTCTACAGGATTCCAAAAAATCTCACATTAGAATGTGGTTGGAAAATAGCTGGATGTGTTATGGCTTGATCATTTCATAGAATATGGTGCCATGAAAGATGATAAATACAAATAGAGAGAAATAGAGTAAAACCCATATGAAGTAATGCAAAGCAATAAAAACAGAATCAAAACCACAATTATACATGAAAAAAAGAAAACAAAACCAAAGGTTCCCTGGCCTCAGGTGGATATGGAAAGAGACCACAGCAAAAACACATTGCATGCTTATTTTGGTTTTGTTTTTTTCTGTTGATGTGCTTGGTTCTGCTTGATAAAACTAAGGGCTTTATGTAAGATGTTTGTCCTTATTTTGTTAAGTTTACTTTAAGCTTTAAAGTTTGCAAAGCATATTACATATCTCATTTGATCCTTACAATGGTCCTGTGAGGACCTATTTTACCAATGAGGAAACTGAGGTAGAGAGAGGTTAAGTGACTTGCCCAGAGTTGCATCACTACATTCTGAAGAGGTCACAAAGAAGCAAATAATAATTTTTAAAATAACTTTAAGAAAATAAATTAAAATATAAACAACTTTAAAATAATTTAAAAAAATAATTAGTAAGCTTACAAAAGTTTTTAAAAATTAAAGTGAAATAAATGTTTCTTGAATTGAACAGGTAGCTATCACACTTCTTGCCTTAAATAACAAGCATTTTTAAGGTATTTGATTTCTTTGCATCATCCTTCACCCTGTGCTTTTTCTTCTTTGAAACGAAAAAAAAACTCTTGCTGATTTTCTCTCAGTCAGCAAATACATATGTACATGCATACATATGTGTAAATATACATACATACACACATACACACATACACACATACATATAACTAAATTAGCTCAACTCACTAAGAAAAGCCTACGGGGTCCCTGACCTGCCTGCTTTGTGCAGGTAGAAAAGAACAATGATCGTACCTACTATGAAAGCAGGCCTGGAAACGTCTGGGTGCCAATGAAAGTTGAGTGGGTCCCTAGTTTGTCTTATGAGGGCATTTGGAGAGAAGGGATGGGAGCCAGGCTATGGAGGAAGGGAGGCTTTGAAAAGTTTGCTCTGAGGTCCCAGAATACACAACCAAATTCACACATAGAGATGCTGCATTGGAAAATTGTCCCCATTGTGAAAGATACACAATAATTTCTGTCAGTATGGGAAATGGTCATAATAATAATTGTTGGCATTGATAAAGCACTTTAAGATGAACAAAACACTTTATATACATTATCCCATTTGAGTTTCAACAACCTCACGAGGAAGGTTCCTCAAGTATTATGATGTCCATTTTACAGATAGAAACTATAGCTCAGAAAGATGAAGTGACTTGCTCTAAGTCACACAGTTATAACATGTAATGAGGAGAGAATCTGACCTCCTGTCTTCCGAGTTTGAGTCCAGGGCTATGTCCACTATGCCACATGATCTCACATACTAGAGATCAATGGGCTAACAGTAGTCGGAGGCTTACGCCTGAAAGCACAGGCCCTGGATAGAAGGCTGTTTTTCCAAAGGCCAGTGCCAGGCAGGAATTTGCAGCTCCTGTGACTGTAGCAGGAGATGGGAAGGAGCCAATGCTGTGGGTGGAGACGGGGAACCCCTGGCTGAACAGCAAGTGCCCAGACAATGGCTTTCTCTGTGCAGCTGGGCTGTGCACCTGGCCCTGAAACAGGGCACTCTGGGCTTCTGCCCTTCCATTTAGATGTAACGTCCACATACAGAGCTATGGTTAAAAATAAACCAGATAGGAGAAGTGAAATCACTGGCCAGTTCTCCTTTTTCTCTGCTTAGCTAGAATCCAGTGGCTGACATCAGCTGAATACAAACTCACATTCCCCAGTACAGTGGCTCAGCCTGTTTTTATTTTTGTATGGTTGGGAAGTTTGGGGCAAACATCCTGTTAGATAATGGGACTTAGAATAACTGTCAGGTGCTAGATTTACTGTTTAGATCCCTTAGAACTCAAAAAGAGAAAGCAGAGAAAAGAATGAGGTTTATTAATTGTTCACTCACAGTCGTAAGACATTAAAACACTACTAAATGACATCTTACCTGAATATAGAAGGTCCGAGAGCTTGTTATTATTTCAAACAGGTTGTCTCTCATTAAGAGCTCTCTAGATATAAAGACAGAGAACAAAGAATTTAACAAAAAAAATGCTGGAATAACTACAGAAGACTTAGATTCTCTCTTGGATATTCATGACCCTGGTGATCATTATCTCCCATCAGCCATCTCTTGAAAAGATGGAATGTTAAAAAATACTTGAGACAAAAATTTCAAACACCATTTTACCCTACCAATCAGGATTTTAAATAACAAGGGTTCTTAACCTTTCTTGTTCATGAACGCTTTAGTAAGTCTGGTGAAACCTCAAGACCCCTACATATTGTTGTCTACATTAAAAAATGAAGGAAATGCTAAATTTCAGTGACAGGTTAGTGAAAATAAAGATGTAATTTTTTTTCTGCCCAAGTTCCCCTCAAATGGGTTAGTGGACCCCAGGTTAAGAGTCCTTGCTCTTGAGAATTGACTCTCAAGCTTTACCATCCTGAGACTACCCTGGACCTACAATTTTCTTACTTTTCTTCAAATTTCATTTTTTAAAAAAATATGAATTTAACAAACATCAACAACACGAACATGTCCTTATACAAAGAACAGAAAAAGAGGACAGTGTATTTGACTGAGGGGTAGCTCGGTGGCATAGTGGATAATGTGCTGGGCCTGGAGTCAGGAAGACTCATCTTCCTGAGTTCAAATCTGGCCTCAGACACTTAGTATCTTTGCCAAGAAAACCCCAAATACGGTCACAAAGAATTAGACACAACCAAAATGCCTGAACAACAATAAAATATTTGACTGCAAAACTTTACTATGTATGGTTTGGTTTTGGTTTTTGTACATTTCAGATTTTGTACATTTCACAGTCCAGTACTTCCAACATGGCTCTGTTTTTCTGTGTCCCCTTTTGAATTTCCTTCTGCCTTCTTTGGTATAGTTTTTAACTATTTTAGAGAAGTGCCTTTCTTTGTTTTATTTTTGCATCTCTCATTAACACCCTCTTCATTCCTCATTGTCTCCCATCCCCCAAAGTCCTCTCTCTCTCTCTTTTTTTTAACAACTATGGTGAAGCAAAAACAAGACCAAAAAAAAAAAAAACCAAAAAACAAAAAGCAAAAATAAAACCAAAACCAAAACCAAAACCAACAACCATGGATTAGTCATGTCTGAAAATGTATGGTGTGTTCTATGCCTACAGTCCTCTAACAAAAGATAGGACTCAAGCTTTATCAGCATTCTGCTAGTTGTGAGTGGTCATTGCATTCATCAAACATTCAGAGTTCTTTTCCTTTCAAATATTATAGTCACTTTATAAATTGTTCATCTGGTTCTTCTCACTTCATTCTTTATTAGTGCATACAAGTCTCCCCAGATTCCTCTGAATCTCCCTTCTTATAGTGTAATAATATACTATTACATTAGTATACTATAACTTGTTCAGCCATTCCCTCATTGACGGGCATTCCCATAGTTTCAATTCTATACTACACCAAAAAGTGCTACTATAAATATTTTTGTACATATTTACCCTTTCCCTTTGTCTTGGAACAACTTGGAGTGTATGTCTAGTAATGGTATTACCAGGTCAAGGGCAGGCACAGTTAGTGATTTTTGAGGTATAGTTCCAAATTGCTTTTAACTGTGGACAGACCAATTGAACCAACAGTACTTAAGTGTACTTATCCTTGCACAGCCTCTTCTACAATTTCAATCTTCCTTTTCAGTCGTCATTGCAAATCTGATTGGTGTGAAATGGAACCTCAGAGTCGTTTTAATTTGCATTTCTCTTATTATTAGTGATGTGGAGTATTTTCAATATGGTTTTGGGATTTCTTGAGAATGGATTGTTCATATCACTCCACCATTTATCTATTGGGAAATGGTTCTTGGTCTTACATGTTTATGTCAGTTCCCTATTTATCTTGAATTTCAAAGTTGTTTGTTTTTTTTTTTTAAAGCAAAGGAGTGTGCAAAGATTTCCCTTAAAATCACTGTTTACCTTCTAATTCTAACTGTACTAATTTTATTTTGCAAAAATGTCATCAAAGCTGTTAATATGATTTCCTCTGATCCGTTCTGTCCCTACTTTGGTCAAGAACTTTCCTGTTTCCGTAGTTGTGAAAAACATTTCCCCCTATTCTCCTCTAATTTGTTTAATGAAACATGACTTTCTGTATCTAGGTCAGGAATCCATTTGGAGCTTGCTGCGGTATATAGCCACAGATGCTAGTCTAAAGCTAATTTCTGTCAAACTGCTTTCTAACTTTGTTAGGAGTTATTGTTGTTTGTCAAATAGTAAATCCTGTGTCAATAGTTGTTATACTTGGGTTTATGAAAAGCTATGCTACTGTGTTTGATTGTTCTGGGTCTTATGTACCTACCTACTCTGTTCCACTGATTAGCTTTCCAATTTTTTAATCAATTCTAAAAAGTTTTGATAGCTGCTGCTTTGTAGTACAGTTTAAGATCTGATAGTGCTAGGTGTCCTTCCTTCCCTCTTTTTTTCACCATTTCCCTTGAGATTCTTGGCTACCCATTAATTAATTAATTTTCAACTTATACACCCAAGTAATTTACACTCTTCTCATCCACCTCTGCTTCCTACAGCTTGTCACATCTTCATGATCCTTAGTATGGATATCAATGCAATTTAAGCCCTCGCCCACCTCAACTCAACAATTCAGTCATCCTGCCTCAGAATAAAGCTCTGCAAAACTCTAGACCGTCCTGTATTCAGCCTTGTTTTCTCTTAAATATCTAATCCCTTTCAGTGTCGTTGATTCAGTTATTCAACATGTTGTTTCTTAAACATCTAACTATGGGTTTAATAGGGGCAGCTAGGTGGTACAGTGGATAGAGTACAAGACCTGGAGTCAGGAGGATTCATCTTCCTGAGCTCAAATCTGACCTCAAACACTTCTTAGCTTCATGACTCTAAGCAAGTCACTTCACCCTGTTTGCCTCAGTTTCATTATCTGTAAAGTGAGCTGGAAAAGAAAATGGTAAAACCACTCCAGTATCTTTGCCAAAAAAAAAAACCAAAACCTCAAATGGGGTCACAGAGTCAGACACAACTGAAAAATGACTAACAGCAACAAAATGTGCTTAATGACTATGCTATAGTTCAACAACTGTGCTAGGCAAATGAGAAAGTGAGAAAAATCTGAAGAAGAGGCAAAGGAAGGCATGAGGCCTTCTTTCACCCATCTTCACTTCATGCAGCTCATTACATTAGGATGATGGGCTTATATGAGCTTATCCCATCAAATGGGCTGCAAACCAAAGAGAAAAAAGTCTCTGTCTCCATTTAGGGAGGAGAGGACTAACTCCTAAGTTCTAAGTCTTGAGGCATTACAGTTTAAAATCTCAGAGTCTGAAGAAAGTCAGAACATTCCTAGTTCAAAAAAATAACTAAACAGAAAAAAACTCCCCAAAACGAAGTCTCTACAACATTCCCAATAAGTAGTCTGATATCCTCTTGTACACTATTATTGATGGAACAGTTCATTTACCTATTGAAAAGCTCTAATCATTGGGAAAATTTTTATACATAAAGTTATTGACTAAATAAGGGATAGGGAGGATCAAAGGAGATATAATATTGGTAGCTTTGATGATATTTTTGCAAAATAAAATTAGTGCAGTTAGAATTAAAAGGGAAACAGTGACTAGAGGAAAATCTTTGCAGCAAAAAAAAAAAAAATTAATATCCAAGATATATAGGGAATTGACAAAATCTCCTTCTCTGCAATTTTCACCCATTGGTTCAAGTCAAATCAAATCCTACCAAGAAGCAATTTGAACTAATTATGAAGCATGATATTGTGAGCTCCTTGAGGGCTGTATATGTTTTGTAATATCTTGGTTCCTCAGAGGTCAGCGCAGTGGCCTACACATGAGAGGCACTCAGGAAATATTTATTGCACCAAATTTATGTTAAAAAGACTTAACTTTGGCTCTCAGGACACTTATAGGCTAGTTGGTAAGATAAGATTAATTAAATAATTATAAGGTAATCAATCAATAAATAGGTTCATAGGATCACAGACTAAGAACTCGAAGGGACTTCAGAAGTCTTCTAATACAACCTTCTCATTTCATACACTAAGGAAACTGAAGCCCAGAGAAGTTACTTGCCCAGGATCTCATAGCTGGTAAGTAGCTGAGCTGGTATCCAACACATGTCATCTGATTCCAAGCCCAGTAGCCCTCTTTACTGATCTGAATTGTTGAACTGAGTAAATCTAAGTGGGACAGTCTGGGTTACAAGCTAAATGCTTTAAGAATTCAGGAAAAAAAAGTGAGATCTGACAATTCCAAAGGATTAATGATGAAAAATGTTATTCACCTCCAGAGAGAGAACCGATGAACTCTGAGTGCAGACTGAAGCATATTGTTTCCTCTTTATTTTTCTTGATTTTTTTTCAACACAGCTTATGTGGAAATATGTTTTGTATGACTTTATACATATAACAGGTATCATATTTCCTGCCTTTCAATGGGAGTGGAGGGAAGGACAAAATTTGGAACTAGAAACAAATTTTTTTTTTTTGATGAGGCAATCAAGGTTAAGCGACTTGCCCAGGGTCACACAGCAAGTAAGTGTCAAATGTCTGAGGTCGGATTTGAGCTCAAGTCCTCCTGATTCTGAGGCCGGAGCTCGATCCACTGTACCACCTAGCTGCCCCCCAATTTTTTTTTAATTTAAAAAAAAGAAAAAAGAAAAAAGAGAAAGGCAAGATCAGTGTGGGTTAAAGTTGCTAGGGAAGATTTTGTGGAGAAAATTGGATTGGATCTGGGTCTTAAAGGCAGTTCCTGGGAATTGATGAGGAAATAAGAATGTTTCAGGCATGAGGTACAGCATAAGATTATAGCCATCTCTAGAGTAAAGTCCTTCATTGAGTAAGCTATGGGCAAGAGTTCCTCAAATAGATATTAAGCAAATGAAACTTGCATAGTCACTATCAGCCCATAAGTGAGAACCCCAAGATTCTTTGATTTAAAACCCTCCTACAGGCAAAGTGTCCTCAACTATAAAATGAGGATAATAAC